TTAATAACATTACGACCAGCTATTGCAGCAGCACCAGTTGCAATACCGAGATTTACGAAATCAAAGAATAGTCGTCTATATCTCGAGTGCGGATAAAGATAAGCACAAGCCTGAATTTTACGGCCAGACTTGATACCAACAACAAAAATATAAACAACGCTTCGATAAGTATAATAATAAACAACGCAAAAATATAAAGAACGCCAATTGACATACTCGATAACCTCATCGATCATGCTGAAACAACTCAACATTTTTCGATCGATACAGAAAATGACGTTACAACACATCGACCATCGTTAATACAGATACAATTTGTTTATGTTAATCAACCATCGATCATCATATTGATTGAAACCCAACATCTACCACCGGAATCATCTCCTCTATTTATTAAATTCGTCATTTGTGTTCTCTTATACTCACACCGACTAATTCTTTATACGCATGGGGAGATCCAATTCGTGAATTACAAAATTTTTTACAATTTAATTTATTCAATCTCACGAATCCACCAATTAAACACGATATACAATCAGAGTTCAAAGATTGGTTCAATGACAGGTATCCATCTGCACCTGAACGCAAAGATGAACCAAATGATCAATATTCACTACAACATGCAATTAAACTCGTCTTTAATCAATGGTTATACAAGGAGCTCACGTTGAGTAATTGGGGATGTGGTATTGATGAACATTTGGCAACATGTATACCTCAAGCATTAGTTGGGATGGATCGTGTTCGATGTTTAGCTGGTGAACGAGAAATACGTCAATTACAAACACAATATGCAATAAATGATTGTTTATCATTAACAAAATTAATGTTCCCCGTCCTATATGATTGGACACCAGAACAAGTGGAAAATTACGAAAAATCATTGCAATCATTAAAATTAGCCTCATTAAAATTAGAATTACAATATGAAGATATTTCAGATGATGAAGACATGGGATTGATACCGGTTCATGTACAAGATGAACCGCTCTTTCATTCTCCAGTACCAGTCGAAGTGCGTGATGAGTTAGTAGTCCATGTACAAGATGGACTAAACGAACCGTCGCCATTACAATACGAATCTATTTCTGATGATGAAGAAGATCAAAATATCGTTCCACAACATAACCCTTCGTCAATGCATAATCGCCTAGTAACACCTCAAAGAACTGTTCGAATAGAAAAACGTCGTTCTCCAGACAGTCACAAACAATATAATCAGCTACAAAACCGTCGACGTCGAGCCCGCAGATATGAACGTATACTTCGATCCATGAACATTCATTACGTTAATTTTAATGTAGTTGGACACATACTATTCATTGGCATGAAAGATGAACATAGTCGAGCGCAATTGGAACAAATGTTGCATGATAATATGTTTACCGAATCACACTACTATCGTTTATATCCGCAATAATCAGGACGAAGTGATATACAACAGTCCAAACATTGTGACAATGTTCTTGTTGTTTTTTTCTTCCATCGTTAATCGTTAAAATCAGTCAGATTTTTCTATTTAGTCAACTACCGGTAAACATTTTCAGATTTTCAGTTTTGCTGAAATTTTCTTTCTGGCTTCCTATTTTTTAGTAGTTTAGTGTGTGAGGACACCCACTTTTATTGGTGGGGAGGATTGTTACAGGCTAGAGCCTTACACATACCGTTTGAATAGTTCTAAATCGAGACCTTCCATTTTCTTCTTTTCGTTGTTATATCATATACATCTAGAGATGTTTTAGTATATTCTTTTCCTTTCTTTATATTCAAGAGGTTTTCGTCCATACATATTTAGATTGTTTTCATTTTTCATTTTTCGTCATATATATATATTTAGTGCGTCAGATTAAAGATTGTTCGTTATTGTTTTTCTTCCACGTGTACAGTAGACACATTTTGTTGTACAGTTCCTGTTTTATACTATTAAAATCAAGCAAAAATATAAAAAACCTTGATATATAACGACATATATAGGTGAGTGCAGGGACACCGCTTATAACCTGTCCCTACTCTGCACTATTTCTTAAAATAACGAAATAATATGTAACGAAAGAAGTTAATGAATTTTCTAGAGCAGAAAATTCTCTATCGAATGAGTTTAGAATGCAATCTTCGAACCTCAGCTGTGCTCGGAAGAAAAGAGAACAAAAGTATGTCATTATTCCTGGCCCACCCGTTACTCGTACCATGATGATAATTTCTACAAATGATTATTACCAGTATGCAGTAGCCTTCATAGAACGTAAGAACAAGCAAGTTTAAATATAACAAATATATTTAACATCCACATAATAATGTAAAATTGCACGTGACTAACTCGAAAGTGACTCAAGTCAGTTTATCAAGATTATTGAGTCATTCGTCTCAAGTCCGAGTCATAGAAAAATGCAACTCGAGTCCAAGTCGTGACTCGGACTCGCCCATCCCTGATTGATATGCAAGTATATCTAAAAAGAAATTGTTTAAAGTGTCATAATGGAAGAATTTCAATAAATTCTTATGCCCGTATCTTTACTTAAAAATCATGTCACTGTAAAACATATGCAGTCGAAATAGATTTGGCTGGAGCTTTTTTGCAGACGAGTTGAAGAAAAATCTTTTTTGCAAGTTACTTATAACCATAAGGACATGACTAATTCGAAAATACCTCTGCTCAGGCCTTTTCCGTTACCGAGATAGGAGGCATTATTTCCTGAGAACTGGCTCTTATTTATTGCTTCAAGGGCAAGATTTTTTGGTGAAATTGATTACTTAGGCAGCTGTAGCTTTGTACTTAAATTCTCTGGCAGTTGTAATTTTATAAAAACGTCTGCCATGTGTGCGGAGAGCGCGCAAATTTTCCAAATTTTGGACTTTTTCCATTTTTCACCATGTCGGACCTCTGATTTTTTCACGATTTCTACCAATGACAAGTAAGCTCGCACCTGGCAACATGTCTCTATACTGTACTCGAGCTACTTATGGTTATTTTATTCATAAAGGTATGATTATAAGTAGCCAGCAGAAAAGGTAGTTATTTTACGGATAATGCCTCCTATCTCGGTAACGGAAAAGACCTGAGCAGAGATATTTTCGAATTAATCATGTCCTTATGGTTATAAGTAACTTGCAAAAAAGATTTTTCTTCAACTCGTCTGCAAAAAAACTCCAGCCAAATCTATTTCGACTCGATATGTATATAAATCGCTTTCTAACGATAAAAGATTCTCATTAGCGTTACCGTTGTATTCATATGGAATTGAAATAGATTTGGCTGGAGTTTTTTTGCAGACGAGTTGAAGAAAAATCTTTTTTGCAAGTTACTTATAACCATAAGGACATGACTAATTCGAAAATATCTCTGCTCAGGTCTTTTCCGTTACCGAGATGAGAGGCATTATTTCGTAAAAACTGGCGCTTATTTATTGCTTCAAAGGCAAGATTTTTTCAATAGAATGATGTAATCGATACTGAAGGTGACCATCAGAAAATGACTCGAGGTGACTCGAGTCAATTTTTTGTGAGACTTGGACTCGAAATAGTGGTGACTCGCCCATCTCTGATGTTGATTGATGAATAAAATGAAATTATTATAAATAAGAACGCTGGTAGGAAGAAAATATATGAAAAAATGATGTCATCCAATGACGACAAAATGTTTGAGAATAGAATATAACTACGTAAGAAAAACAGGAATATGACTGAACTAGCTATCTTATCTTGATTATATTTGTTTGACTAAGAAAGAAAAACATTCATCATATAACATTAGTTCGGTATTTTTATATACGAGATACAACAAAGAAAAGAGTTTTAATTATGCAATTATTTATAATTAGTTTAATGTTACTATTCGTCGGTACGTAGGTATAATGCAGGTCAAACTCTTGAGAAGGTTTCCTTCACTTCCTTATTTTGAGCTTTCAGAAGAAAATTTTTAGAGCTTGAAAAGTCAAGAAAACCTCATACTACATTAACTAATATAGAAGATTATGGCTCGATATCTTTTTTTAGAATCTTTAGCACATCATAAACGTTCTTTAGAATTATAATTAAAAAGTTGAAAATAGATAACTTTCCAAAGAAAATCCATTTGGGAGTATCGACTTTAAACTTGTCTAAATTTCTTTGTGTCTGCCTACTATGGTCAAATATTCTTTACGTTTTTGATTACACTGTAAGGTTGGAAATTATTTATGAAAAATGCTAGGTGATTTTTAAAGAGTACCTGTGGGAATTCCCCAAAGATTTTCCAGTTTATAGAAAATCCAATTTTCAACAATCTAGAAAATCATCCTTGAGTTTCCATAAATAATTTTCAAGAAAGTAGAAATTCCTTTTTGATTTTCTATAAACTTGAAATTCCTTGGCGGGTCTGTATCGAGTGGCGGCGCGACCAGGTTGCATGAGGGTTGATCCCGCTCATGCTTTTGTGAAATTTCTGGTGAACGTCTCCGATTTGTGGACCTTCCTACCGAAACTCCGCACCACCACTGTCTCTGCCTAAATCAAAATTCTTGCTGGCATAGGCAGAATTGTGATCTCTAGTAGAAACTGTCAAAGTTGATTTAAGTGTAATATGAGTGTCTTTACGTGACGCTCTTATACCTATACTGATTGCAAAACAAAAAGATGAATAAATATTTGGTCTAGAAATTCCTGGGCGAATTTCTACTTTCTAGAAAATCGAATTGATGGAAATTCAAGGTGTTTTTTTTAATTTAAATTTTTGTATTTGCTTTATTTCATTGTGGTAGCCTCCAGATCTCAAAAGCTTGTAAAAATCCTATTACAAGTTAGATTTTATTCGAGATAATTGCCCTTTTATTTTATTTTGCTTGTCTTTTTAGGTTTGGATGCTGCATCTCCAAATTGGGCTGGTGTATATATCCCAGATATAACATGTAATCGTACACAATGTTGTTGTTTAAGTGACCAAATTACAATTATTACAGACTCAGAAAACATCATATTTCGATCAGGTTTTCACGGACTTGAATGCGATAGTGACGCAACAACAACTTTTGGTAAACTACCACAAGGATTTGTTCTACAACTTCTAACAGAATATTCAATATTTAGTATAATATTAAGTGAGGATAGTGAACAAATAAAGTTTGTTAATATAAGAAATCCTATGGTATGTTATGGGTATGCAAATAAAACTATGATTATAACAACAACAACACCAAAAACATCTCATAGTAAAGCATCACATATAAATATATATATTTCGCTTTATATACTTGCCTTTACTTCAATAATTATGAATATCTTTTGATTTAAAATTTGGTGATAATATTATATTTTCGCATGTTGTATCAGTGTTAAACTAAAAGTATTTGATGTTTTTGTTTTTCAATAAAATGTCATAACTGTTTTCCCATTATTCAAGAGTTATGAGAACTGAACGAATAAATTTAGAAGATTCATTAATCAATCCACTCTTCAAGTGCTTGCTATATAATACACAGTGGGCATCCAGGCGGACATTAGGCGGAACAGTGACTTTGTTTCTTTTCGAAAACAAAATAGTCCAAAATATAGCCCTTGAAATTCTCTATCGAATGGTGTATAAATGTCTATTGTGATTTTCACTCCTTCATGGAGAAATCGGGCCACAAAGAAAGGTCCCAAAACATCATTTGTACGAACTAAACCATG